TATTTAAATTTTTTTTTTTTTTTTTTTTTTTGTAGTTTGCCAGAGGGTATGTGCTTGCAGGACAGAGAGAGAGAGTGACAGAGAAAGGAAAAGTAAGAAAGCACATCCCATAGGGAATGGTCAAACCACAACCCTTCTCCTCTATTTCTCCCTCCTTTTGGGATTTTGGACACGCACAGGCACCTGGCATGTTTCTCAAGCACCAGGTCTGGGACTGGAACTGTGCAATCAACCTCGTGGTATCCAGCTGCCTTAACCACCATGCCATGGCCCCCACTCATATTATTTCTAATTTCCCTTGTGGTTTCTCTTTTGATCCACAGATGTATACTGCCAATTTTCTAAGTGTTTAGATGTATATTGCTTATTTCTTTTTTTTGGGGGGGGGGGCGTAGAGGTTTTTGTTATAGGGTGCATGTGCTCGCCAGAAAGAGAGAGAGAAACAGAGAGAAAGCGAGAAATCACCCCCCATGGGGGATGGCCACGCCACAATCCCTTCTCCTCCGTTCTCCTCTGGGGATCTTGGGCGTGCACGTACATGTGCCCGGCATAAGTTTCAGCCACCAGGTCCAGGACTCAAACTGCGGTCGACTACATGGGAGTTCAGCAACATAGCCAATATGCCAACTGCTGGTCCCTACATTGCTTATTTCTAAGTGTTTGCTTTTCCATGTATCTTTTCGTTATTGCTCTATCTTCAGTTTCACTGAGCCTTTTTTCTGCTGTCCTATCTGCTACTAAATCATATGGTAATTTTTCCATTGCATATATTGTACTTTCAGTTCTGGAATTTCCATGTGGTTCTTTTGTCTTCTTCCCATTCTTCTGTTGAGATAAATCTGTTAGTTCATAACCATTTTCCCCTACCAGTTCTTGAACATATTTATAATAGGTGTTTAAAGTCCTTTATGCTGATGCTAACTTTGGGTCTCCTCAGGGTATTTTATTGACTGCTTTTTGTTTTGACTATGGGTCACTTTTTTTTTTTTTTTGAGAAAGAGAGAGATTTTTGCTATGGGCATGTGCACTCGCCGGAGAAGACAGAAAGCGAGAAGTCACTCCCCAGAGGGGGAAGCCATGCTGTAATCCCTTTTCCTCCAGTCTTCTCTCGGGATCTTGAGGACCCTCACACATGTGCCTGGCATGAGTTTTTTAACTCGCCAGGTCCAGGACTCAAAACCGCAGTCGATTACATGGGAGTCCAGCGACGTAGCCCTTACGCCATCTGTTGGTTCACATTTCATGCTTTTTATTATTTTTTTTTGTCATTTGATATTTGTATTGCATTTAGACATTACAGAATGTACTCTTTAGAGACTAGATTCCTAGTCTTCCACTGAGGGATATTGCTTTTTGTTCTAAAACAATTGTTAAATTATTATTAATCAGCTTGAGCTGCTGAAGCTAGTTTCAGTCAGCTTTGGTTGTATCCTTGGTCTCAGAACAAATTTTAGTTCTGGGACATAGGTTGTTTTTTTTGTTTGTTTTTAGAATTATTTAATTTAACGTTATTTATCCCACATGGCAGTGGCTTGAGTCCCGGACCTGGTGTCTTGCTTTCTCACTTTCTCTCTAATGAGTGCATGTGTCCTATAGCAAATTAAAAAATAATGACAAAATTAAATAATTCTAAAAAGAAAAAGAGGGAGGCTAAGATTGGCAGCTTTCACAAAGGGGCAGGTGAGGGGCAGAAACCTTCATGGATACAGTTGCACCAGAAGCCAAAAGGAGAGGCAGGCCTTCTCTAGCTCCACTCAAAGAACAAAAAGAGGTGGCGGTATCTCCACCCAATATGGGTCAGCCTCTCCCATATTTGGGAGCTCACTTCTATTCATCCCAGCACCCAGCTCTGCATATGTGGATTCTTTGAACCCAACCTTTCATCCTCTGAAGAACACAATCGGCTTTGGGACCACAAAAGGAGGTTTAGGGATCATTAATCCCAAACTTTGTCCTTGGCAGGCTTAGGATCAGAACTGATCATTCACAAAGCCCAAAAGTGTCTTTAGAGGAGAAGTCCTGTGTGTGGGGGGAGTGGGGGGGGGATAATCTATAAGAGGGACCAGCGGGGCTGGGGGTCATCCCATAAGCAAGATGTCAGAAGAAGAGGAGTTTTATCTGTTCAAGAACGCCTCCTTGGTGGGGCCGTGGGATGGACCTCAGTACCACCTTGCCCCTGTCTGGGCCTTTCATCTCCAGGCAGCCTTCATGGGCTTTGTCTTCTTTGTAGGGACACCGCTCAATGCCTCAGTGCTGGTGGCCACGATGCGCTACAGAAAGTTGCGCCAGCCCCTTAACTACATCCTGGTCAACATATCCTTTGGGGGCTTCCTCTACTGCATCTTCTCTGTCTTCGTTGTCTTCCTTAACAGCTGCCATGGATACTTCTTCTTTGGCCGCTTTATTTGTGGTCTGGAAGCTTTCATGGGCACTGTAGCAGGTACTGCAGGGGAAAGGGGGTTGGGGGAAGCAAAGGACACTACGCCACAACTGGAAACAGGGACTAGGCTTTGGGGTTGGAGGGGACCCCTAAAGAGGAATCTGGGAGAAAGGAATTCGGTATCCTGAATACTGGGATACAAAGCAGCCCAGCCTAGAAGTTTGATCAAAATAGGATGTTTGAGTCTTCAAGTCCACTTCAAACATCAACCCAACCCTGTCTCTCTGGGCTTGCTCCCCCTGTCTCTGTCCCACTTGGCCACTCAAGCTGGGTGGGGTTCTTTCTACCCCATTACCCTCACATTTTGCCACAGGTCTGGTGATAGGCTGGTCATTGGCATTCCTCGCCTTTGAGCGCTACATTTGAGCGCTACATTGTCATCTGTAAGCCCTTCGGCAACTTCCGCTTCAGCTCCAAGCATGCTCTGATCGTGGTCCTGACTACCTGGACCATTGGTATTGGTGTCTCCATCCCACCCTTCTTTGGCTGGAGCCGGTGAGAGTGCAGGGTATTGGTGCTGACTTACTTGGGGAACTCAGCATGTGGGGTTGGAAAGAGAACTCGGGTGTATGTAACCTTTTAGTCTTGACGGCTGCTTTGGGGAATTGGTCTGGGGAGGGGCACAAGACTGTGGGAGAAGAGCACTAATGTTTACTCCGCAGCTATAACTGCTGCAGCCTCTGCTGGTGAGAACGGAAAGTCCTCCTGCTTGAAGCCTTCTGGCATTTTCTGGGTTCTGAGAGAATCTGGAAATCTCAGCTCCCACTCCACTAAATCTTGCGGGTAGCCCGGAGTGAGTGCATGTTCCGTGCTGAGTGCTTGGTCTTTTACAGGTTCATCCCTGAGGGCCTGCAGTGTTCCTGTGGCCCCGACTGGTACACCGTGGGCACCAAATACCGCAGCGAGTACTACACCTGGTTCCTCTTCATCTTCTGCTTCATCGTGCCTCTTGCCCTCATCTGCTTCTCCTACTCTCAGCTGCTGGGGGCCCTCAGAGCCGTGAGTGGTCTTGAGAGGGTCAGGGAGGAGTAGATCAGGGGCTCCACGTGAGGAAAGGGTGGGTGAATGATCTAAAAGTGACATCCAGAAACGTCCATAGGAAGACAGAGCTGGTATCTAAAAGCAGTGAAGGAAACGTGGGTAGTGGGATAATGAATAAGGCGGGGTGAGCCCTGCCCAAAAAGGTGTCAAGAGACACGTGTGACCTGTTCCTAACGTTACAGACCAGAGCCGCTTCCATCTTGCCTTCTTCCAGGAAGAAGAGCCAAAAGACCTAGGTCCAGGGACAGGGGCGGTGAGGGTTGGAAGAGGGGTGTGACACTGTATTCTGGCCCAGGTTGCAGCTCAGCAGCAGGAGTCAGCAACTACCCAGAAGGCCGAGCGGGAGGTGAGCCGCATGGTGGTGGTGATGGTGGGCTCCTTTTGTGTGTGCTACGTGCCCTACGCTGCCCTGGCCATGTACATGGTCAACAACCGCAACCACGGCATAGACTTACGGCTCGTCACCATCCCCGCCTTCTTCTCCAAGAGCGCGTGCGTCTACAATCCCATCATCTACTGCTTCATGAATAAGCAGGTAAGGCTCTCTGGTCACACCCGAGACCCGAGTTCCCTTCTCGCCAGTGACTTGTCAGAGAACGCTGGCCTTCACTAGGAGGGCTGCTGAAGATGGACAAGGAGAGCCCTTGTAAGCACAGAGAGGAAGGTGTGGTCCCGAGAAAAGGTAACACAACCCAGGAGGACAACACTTGAGCCAGACAAGTTAAGTTCCTTCAAGGAATGGGATGCAAATGTTGTTGGAAAAAAATTGATAGATCACAGGACCAGCAGTTGGTGTAAGGGCTATGTAGCTGGACTCCCATGCGGTCAACTGTGGTTCGAGTCCTGAACCCGGTGGCTTAAACTCATGCCAGGCGCATGTGCATGCGTGCCCAAGATCCCAAGAGGATAATGGAGAAGGTACTGCAGCATGGCCATCCTCCCTGGGGGTGATTTCTCACTTTCTATCTCTATCTCTGTCTCTCCAGTGAGTGCACACACCCTATAGCAAAAATCTCTCAAGAAAAATGGATAGATCTCTAGTTCTAAAATTTCTAGTCCCTACATTTCACAAGTTAATCCTTTCCCTTCCAACTTCTAGCCTGCAGGAGCGTTTGTGAAGTGTAGACATCTCAACACATGCATACGTCTCTAAAAATCTTATCATCTGAAGGTACCAGAGGGTCTGCTGCTCCTAACCCTCAATCTAAGCTAATAATAAAAAATAACCCTCCCAAACTCAGGTGAATCTTGGAGTTCCTTACATGGCTAAAAACCTACATGCAGAATTAAGTGATTTTGCTTTCTTAATTCCAGAGATGGAGTCAAAGCGAATTAGGTTGGGAGCTTGTTATAGTAAAGGTCAGAGGGTGGGTCTAGCTATGGGCGTCTTTCGCAGTGCTTGTATGAGGCAGTGGGTTTCTAGGGTTCCCCAACGTGAGATCTCAGTCTTTGCACCCTGGATAAGGGCGATTACTGTAAATCCAGGAGTAGCGAGTGGTTCCGGACTGGAATCTAGTTTTCAGGATGGGGTAGGTACACTTAAAAGTGTACCCAGATCTTGAGATCCTGGATATGAGGTGTCATGTGGGGCTTTGGGGATACAAAGGATGAGGCGTCTTTTCCACACTTGCTGATGTTACCCTGCACTCGCCTGCCTGCCAAGGAGCTGTCTCCAACTCTGCTCTCCTCTCCAGTTCCGAGCTTGCATCATGGAGATGGTGTGTAGGAAGCCCATGACAGACGAATCTGAAATGTCCAGCTCTCAGAGAACAGAAGTTTCTACCGTCTCTTCCAGCCAAGTTGGCCCCAACTAAGGACCCCACGTTGGCCTGTTTGCAGTCTCCAGAATTTCACATTTAAGTAAGTTTCTACTTTCTCTGTCAGAAACAAAGCTATTAACACAGAAAAAAGATTGGGAGGGACTGGTGGCGGTATGGGGAGTCAACTTCTCCTTTTCTACTATTCCCTTCCTGCTAACAAAGCCACTGTTCCCAGCAGGGTCTACTCAGGCCGCCCCAAAGGCCGTCTCAACAATCATCAGCTCTACTCCCAAACGGCACCTTTCACAGCACTTGGAGAATGGATTTCTACAGACAGGGAAACCGTAAAGGAGTATGGCTGATTTTTCAGTGTATGGGTAACAACTGCTTTCCTTTTTTTTGGTTTTTGCCATAGAACGCATGTGCTCGACAGAGACAGAGGGAAAGTGAGAAATCACCCCCCAAGGGGGATGGCCACACCACAATCCCTTTTCCTCCCAGGATCTTGGGCACACATGCACAAGTGCCCAGAGTCATTTCCTTTATTGGCTATAGGGCATGTGCACTTATCTGAGATAGAAAGTGAGAAATCACCCCCCAGGGGGGATGGCCATGCAACAATTCCTTCTCCATTCTCGCAGGATCTTGGGCACACACGCACACACGCCCAGCATGAGTTTTAAGCCACTGGATCTGGGACTCAAACCGTGGTTGACTATGTGGGAGTCCAGTGATGTAACCATACACCATCTGCTGGTCTCATCCTAGAGTCATTTTCAAGTCACCGGGTCGGGGACTCGAACCATGGTTGGCCATGTGGGAGTCCAGCATCTTAACAACTGCGCCACCCACTGGCCCCCTGCTTTCCTTTTTAGTAACGTTTTTCCCCCTAGGTGTCTGTTCTGAGATGGTATGTTCTGAGTTAGAACAAACTTAAGAAAGCACCTTAGAAATGGGAGAGACATGAAAACCTTCAGGAGGCCCGCCCATGAGTCTGAAAGAACTGTCTATAATTGCTCAGCTTTGGCAGGGGCAGCCATGGGTCTACAAATCCGAGACACATGAATTATTCCAGGTGCTTCCTTTGCCCCCTCTCCTACTTGGTTAAACCTATGTATCTGTCTTAAGCTGTACATTTACTAAAGTCAATAGTTTAATTCCTTTGATGTTCTCAAAATGAATTTGCTTATCTTAATACCCCCCACAGCCTTTCTGAAATAAAAATCAAGATCAATGTTGTGTGCACACTCAGGAATGGCTTGTGTGTGGTATCAGATGATTATGTAATGAGCAGCTGGGCTCCTGTCCAGTTATGTGGCCGAAGGGAAATGGAGAAGGGTTACAGCTGTACGGAGGATGCCAGATTTCAGACTCAGGAAGAAAGAAGTAACCAATTAGGGAGAGGCAGCACTTTCTCTAGAACCGGGAGATGAGCAAGGGAAAGCCAGGGGGGGCTCCCTTCCTGTGACGTTTTACAGTACTGCGATTCTAAGCCAGAGCTCCATTTCTTAGAGAATAAAGGACACACGCACCCACACGAATGTAAACAGTTTTATTTAGAAACAGATAGGAACCTGTTTGCATTATAGAATATAAAACTTGGTTTACACTCTATAAAAAATAACCAATATCCAAATTCAAGAGAGCTAGCATTCACAGAACACACAATGTGGATGTGTAGCTACTGCCCACCAGCCTCAGGCTTGATTTAAACCAAAAAAATAATGCAAGGGGCTCATGAAGGATTTGCACACAGGGCTTGCTGCTGAGTCCCCAGCATCCGGAAGCCGCCATCTTAGCAGATTAAGGTCCGCCCTCAAGTCATCTGAACACAGGGCCTGGGCTCCCTGGACTCAGCCGCGAGGCTCTCTTGCCACCCCGTTCATGATGGACCCTCTCTAATGAAGCTGGGATTGGTGGCATTAGCAATGATCTCCGGTTTTAACAATAAAAGTGGGGAATCTGGAGAGCAGAGACATTCCATCGCCCTGCACTGCGTATAAACTGAAGACTGTATCCACTATCAAGAGCTCAATGGAAAGGCCAGGGAAAAGCTCCCTGACATCTGGCTTTACAATACCAGGCAGCCCCCCAATGACTGTGGAAGGAAGACCAAAGGATATACCTAAGTTCAGATGATGACGATCACTCAGCACCACCTGAATGGATTATCTAGCAAGACATAGGAAATAATACAGGTTATATATACATACATTTATCTTAGCAACCTGAGGGCTAAAAACTTGGAATACAGTAATTCTCAAAAGAGGGTCACCTGTAAGAAAGGGATCAAAAAGGACCAAAAGAGTGTGTTTCATAAAATATGGATAGACTGGGTCCAGAAGGCAGTTTCTTCAGCTTTCTGTTAAATCCCTCTATTTGATAAGAACTGGTGACCTGTGGATCCATGATAAACTTTTTTTTTTTTTTTTTGGCAGCAGAGAGAGGGGAGGATGAGGATGGGGTGTGAAGGTGCGAAGGGTCAAAGGCAGGCAGGTGAGCAATGGTCCTCAAACCAAAGAGCCCTCTCTGTAGATCCTCTCCCATCCGAGCCTGAGCTCAAGCCTCTGGTGACACAGAAAGAGGTCTGGGAATAAGTGGTTTGCATGCTGAGGTATGAGGATCCCTAGTAAATTCAGCAGCATGTGGTTTTGGGAAACCAGCTCACAAGAAAAGAACACTGCAACCAAGCTTGTAACTAATACTGCTATTTAACTACTGTCCAAATGAGAAAGCGGGGGAAAAAAAAACCCAACCCCATTGTGTCGGCAGGTTTGAAGCTTTCATATAAGGTGGTCCAAATACTCTTTTCTTACTTTTTCTGAAGGTTTAAGAGAATTCCCAATCGCTGATCATTTCTCTTGTTAAAGGCACTTTCAGTGACATGATTGGACAGGAGTGAACTGTGATCGCACTAGACCAAGATTAATCCCTTGGCACACCTAGGGAGGAAGAGCCGGACGGGGCACCTACAGTGATCTCAACAGGCAAATAATTACGTCCTGAGCATTTCAACAGATGCACAGCCAGAAAAAAAAAAAAAAAAAAAAAAA